GGTTCTACTAATTATTGCATGTGCAATTATACTTGCTTCTCCAATTATGACAATAAGGTATAAAACAATTGAAAAATTCTCCTTACAGCCAGTTGCATTGGAAAAAAAATTCGAAAATTATTTGGAATCTTTACCTAACAACATTGAAGTAAAAGGTATATCCTACTTCTCTAAGCAAATTGTCTTCTCTATTACACATAGCTCCAAACGTTATAAGAATGAAGTCAAAGACAGTTCAATTTCAATTAAGAAACATTTTATAAACAGAAATGTACAAGTGCACAATCTAACTGAAAACAAAATTACACAAAGTTATCATGAAGAGGGTATAGAATTCATTACCAAATTAGATTACAAAACAGTTGCTGCAACATTTAAAAATAGAATAGAACTTTGGCGTATTACAGAACATCAATCTCATATTGCAAGGACAGTAATATATACCTTAAATACTGCAGGCCAGTACTGTAGGAACATTCACTATCGTGTTGGAAATCTGTTTGTTATGTATATTGATTTTGAATCAAGACAATTCACAATCAAACAGTTAAACATTTATGGATATGAAGTTACAAGCTTCAGTATGAACTTCAACTATTTTACAGAAATGACAGTCAGCCCTGATGGTAAGACTATCTACATCTCTTATGAGCATGATAACTCAGTCAAAAGTTATACACCTGAAGGACAGCTTATGGCTGAATATAGAAATGACAGTCTAAGATACCCTAGAAAAATGACAGTGGATAGTATAGGAAATCTATTTATTACTGGCATAGAATCCAACAACATTTTCTATGTATCACCTGAACTCACACATGGATATGAACTAATAAAGACAGATAATGGGTTTCCACATGGCATAACATACAATGAAATTGACAACTCACTATATATCAGTTCAACTGCTGATAGATCTATTAAAGCTTTCAAATTCAAAACTTAAAATTTCTATGCACTGTAAAAGCTCCAATTAAAATGTATATCATTTTGTTATTGATGTTTTGATTTTTCTAAGATAACTTTCACTTCCAGTCATTACTGTTTGTCCAATCATTCTGATGATTTATATAATTTTTTAACAACAGTGATCCAAAGTCCAGCACCCAACTTTTATCTGGTGAAGAAAATCCTTAGTTGCCCTCCTCCCCCCCCCCCCCCACTGTTCTATTGAAACTGTCATAAATTAACCAGATTATTCTAAGCTTTCTTACATGATGAAACATTCAAGTTTTACCTATAAGATTCCTACTTATATGGCTGAAAAACAAGGCATTTGAAATCAGCAATGTTTTATTTACCGCAAAATCAAGGTTTAACGCCCCAACCCTAATTAACACCCCCACCCTCTTTTGAAAACCTTGTGTACAATTTAAACATACAAAATAAAGAAACTCTTACTAATTCAGCAATTTATGTTATATACAATATGATTCCATTTATGAAAAATATCAGGGAATCAAAACTTAAACACTAACTTTTCACTAAAACAGAGTGTAGTTTACTAGAAAACAGTAAATGTTAAACAAGAGGGCCATGATGGCCCTGAAGTCGCTCACCTGTATATAGGCCCCCGGAGTGGGGCCAGTTTAAACCCCAGGGCTTTTATTTGAACAATCTTGGTAGACACCCATTAGAAGATGTTTCATGCTAAACATCTAAGGTCTAGCTGGTCAAGTTTTTTCTTAACACAAATAGTTAAAAACAATGACACACCTGGGGCAGGGCCAATTTTGACCCAAGGGCTTTTATTTGAACAATCTTTGTAGACACTTACTAGAAAATGTTTCATGCTTAATATCTAAACTCTAGCTATTTGGGTGTTTTCAAAGAAGATTTTTAAGTTTTTGCTATACACATATAAGGAAAATCAATGTCACCGGGGCGGGGCCAATTTTGACCCCAGGGCTTTTATTACAACAAACTTTGTAGACACTCACTAGAAGATGCTTCGTGCTAAATATCTAAACTCTAGCTATTTGAGTTTTTCAAAGAAGATTTTTTAAGTTTTTGCTATACACATATAAGAAAATTCAATGACCCCCGGGGCAGGGCCAATTTTGACCCCAGGGCTCTTATTTGAACAAACTTGGTACACATCCATTAGAACATGTTTCATGCTAAATATCTTAGCTCTAGCTCTTTGGGTTCTTTAAAAGAAGATTTTTTAAGTTTTTACTATATGCTTATAGGGAAAATCAATGACCCCCTGGGGCAGGGCCAATTTTGACCCAAGGGCTTTTATTTGAACAAACTTGGTAAAAACCCATTAGAGGATGTTTCATGCTAAATATCTTAGCTCTAGGTCTTTGGGTTCTTTAAAAGAAGATTTTTTAAGTTTTTACTATATGCATATAGGGAAAATCAATGACCCCCTTGGGCAGGGCCAATTTTGACCCAAGGGCTTTTATTTGAACAAACTTGGTAGACACCCATTAGAGGATGTTTCATGCTAAATATCTTAGCTCTAGCTCTTTGGGTTCTTTAAAAGAAGATTTTTTAAGTTTTTACTATATGCATATAGGGAAAATCAATGACCCCCTGGGGCGGGGCCAATTTTGACCCCAGGGCTTTTATTTTAACAAACTTGGTAGACACCCATTAGAGGATGTTTCATGCTAAATATCTTAGCTCTAGGTCTTTGGGTTCTTGTAAAGAAGATTTTTTAAGGTTTTAGTATATGCATATAGGGAAAATAAATGACCCCCTTGGGCGGGGCCAATTTTGACCCCAGGGCTTTTATTTGAACAAACTTTGTAGACACTCACTAAAAGATGTTGCATGCCAAATATCTAAGCTCTAGCTCTTTGGATTTTTTAGAAGAAGATATTTAAAGCTTTTTCTTTTGATTGCCATGGCAACCAGAGTTCTGCATGGAATTAAATTCTTTGAACAATTTTCAAAGGTGGCCACCAAAGGAACATTCATGTGAAGTTTGGATGAAATTGGCTTAGTGGTTTATGAGAAGATGTCATTTAAAGTAAAAGTTTACGGACGACGGACGGGCGGACGACGGACGAAAAGCGATCACAAAAGCTCACCCTGTCACTTTGTGACAGGTTAGCTAAAAACATAATATGGTAAACATATTTACAGTGCACACTTTTCATATAGCTTTGCACCTGGACAACTACACAGATCTGGAATTGGGCCTGTTGACACATTGTAAATTAACTTCAAGCAGGATCTGGGAGGAATTTTGGTAGGATCACTGTGCAGATCAAAGATATCATGGGTTGACAGGGTGATGATGTGTTTGTGAATTTTTTTAACATTGTTTGAAGAGAGAATTTTTTTTTATTATTATTATTTTTATCTTTATTAATATTAAACATCGCCCTTTTGAAAAATGTTACGCCCCTGGGGGCTTTAAAATGGGATTTTACTGTAAGTATTTGAGGCCAGCAAAGCTCATTAACGTTTAAGCACATGAACACTGACTACAGTACACTCCACTTACTTTAGGACAATGAGATATATTAGTAACTGTTTATGTAGATTCATTTTTAGGTTGATTCATTGTTTTCAAAGCTTTAAATTTATAGGCACACTTTCAATTCTATTCCTGGAACCAACCAATATATCGTCCAGCAAATCCTTAAATAACTACGCCTGAAGAGATATTGAAAAATACGAAATTTAAGACATGTGTATCACCCTTCTTGTAAATGAGTGAAATAAAGTATATTTGGTTCCCCGGCGTGCTATATATTCAAAGCTATAACAAAGAAGAACACATAAAGGACAAAGATTATCATGATTAGCATGGATAATATCATATAAAGGAGAGCTTGTCACAGACAATGCAGCACTCCTACCAGTGTTATGTTGCTTGATTCTTACCTCAAGATTAAAAGGTACCTATTACCTACATACCAAGTATCATCAAATTAGCTTTTATAGTTTTTAAATTATAGCAGGATTCAGATTTGTTCAATTTTCACTGGTTTTTTATCATTTCTGTATCAATAGGAACTAAAATGACTAGAAGGGTTTTTGTCAAAAAAAAACAACATATGTCTCCCAAAACTATGCTGCGAATTCTGGTGGAAATCTGGCCAGAAGTTTGACCATGATAGCCGGATAAGATTTTTTCTATTTTGTACTCTAGAGGCCATTTTGTGCAGTGAAGCCGAATGTACTGGTAACGTGCACAAATAGGATTTGTACTGATCACTCCAGGTCTTTCAGCAGACGCTTTAAGCACCGCCCTCCGGCTGTTCCTTAATTTCCAAATCAATCCCATCGCTGTCCATATAAGTCAATCAATCCCATCGCTGTCCATAAAAGTCACCGCTGCGCTTGATTTTTTCTGATCCCTGTTTACAATTTCGTATAGCACTTGCAGAATAAGCCATGTTGTGCAGCCTTGTGCGCGCTGGTGATGTGCACAACTAAGGATGGCACTGATCACTCCTGTAAAGTTTGGTTGAAATCCCACCAGTGGTTTGACCTGTGAAGGCTGAACAAGATTTTTCTATTTTTAGCTCTGGCAGCCATTTTGTGCAGCTAAGCAGAAAGTGCTGGTGATGTGCACAACTAGGAATGGTACTGATCACTCCTGTAAAGCTAGTTGAAATCCCTCTAGTAGTTTGATCTGTGAAGGCCGGACAAACCTATTGCGACGTATGGACGGAACCCATATGGTTAACAGGGACTTAAAAATATCATTTGGTGTCAACTTAAATCATTCCTATACTATAAAAAATCAAAATCTCACCATACAATCTCTCAATTGTTTAAAAAATATACCAAATTTATAATGCCCCTCAGAGTTTTGCATTACTCAAACTAAGGCTGGACAGATTGTTTTCATTCTTAAAAACGAAACATAGCGTAAAGGAGTGTCTTGAATTGATTCAACATATTCACTAATTTCTATGCCTCTGCATGTACATTCTGTTTTGTATTTAGTTGCAATCTGTGTCAGGTAAAAGGGTGATGCAGGGATTAAACCTTATCAATCATGTGACAGAAAACATTATTATACAAACACCTACCCAGCAACAACAGAATGTAGAAACTTCCCAGCTCTTTCTACCACATCCAGCCAAACGCCAGAAACAGAGCCATCTTCAAACAAACTGGCTTCTGGCAAGGACTGCAGGGCTTCTAAGGACTCTTGCAACAGCTCTGAACACAGGTCCGAATCTTCCCCAGATCTCCATGCTCGTCGGAGGAAAGCAAAGGCGAAACTAAGTGCTGCCCGAGACCCTACTCTAGCCAGGCCCATGGTTGCTTTCTCTGCTGGTTTTATATTGCTGAAACCATGAGAAAAATATGATAACCATTTTCAATACATTTGTATATCTGAACAGTAATATTGAACTATGACAACCGTTATACAGAAACCTTTACATGCTTGTTTTGATTAAACAATTTCTGCAATTCTTACATTGATCAAATTTCAATACACCTGTTAAAAGTCAACAAGCAATTATCATAGTATTGCAAGCAATCCATAAGTCCCCTACTGGTTAGAACCCCATCAACATTCTGAAGGGCCATTGGCCATTCACTTATGTTTCAATTTTTCTCTATTTTAAGTAAACTTGTTGGAAAAGTTCTTTAAAAGTGATCACAGGAAACAGTTTTTATGAACAGACAGACAGACGGACTGAAGGACACTCTAAAGTTAATATTTGAAACATCCCTGTTACCAAAATATAACATTTTAAAAACAAAATTCTTAAAGAGGAGATAACTCTTGAATAAAAGATGCAATTTCATAAAAAATTTCAGCTCTTTTTGACTTATCACAAATATTGTTATATTTGCCATGTTTTAACCCTATTTGTTGCCAAGGCAACTGATATTTTTTCAAAATAGGAAGAACAGATAAGACATGCATAATCTCAAGACTGCTATCTACCCGTATGTCAAGTTTCATAAAAATATTTCCAGTACTTTTTGAGTTATCACTGGATTCAGTTTATGTGTAAAATTTGCCATATTTTCAGTATATGTGTTGCCATAGCAACCAGAATTTTCAACATAGGAAGAAAAGAAAAAGACGTGCATAATCTCAAGACTGCCATCTACCCATATGTCAAGTTTCATAAAAATATTTCCAGTACTTTTTGCTTTATCACTGGATCCAGTTTATGTGTAAAATTTGCCATATTTTCAGCCTATTTGTTGCCATAGCAACCAGAATTTTCAACATAGGAAGAAAAAAAAAGACGTGCATAATTCCAAGACTGCCATCTACCCATATGTCAGGCTTCATAAAAATATTTCCAGTACTTTTTGCGTTATCACTGGATCCAGTTTATGTGTAAAATTTGCCATATTTTTAGCCTATTTGTTGCCATAGCAACCAGAATTTTCAAAATAAGAAGAAAAGAAAAAGACGTGCATAATCTCCATACTGCCATCTATCCATATACCAAGTTTCATAAAAATATTTTCAGTACTTTTCAATTTATCGCGGGATCCAGTTTTGTGGACGGACGGACTGACAGACAGACGGACTGACGGACAGAGGGTAAACCTAAAGTCCCCTCCGGTAAACCGGTAGGGGACTAATAAAGCCTTATGAATTTGTTATATTTCATTTGAATCAAGTTGACCTCTGGTTTTGTTATTTTGTTTCATAGGTCAACAGTTTAATTTTCATTCAGCTGATTGGTTTATTTTGAATTATGTGTAATTGAATCTGTTTTTATGTTTTATACAGTCATAATCGTCAATTTTAGCTTGTTCTTGATTCAAGTCAATTTTTAGAGATGATCACTTTCTAAATTAAGTCTAAACTTAAGTCTAAATCAAAATATTATATTAAAATGCACTTTTTTATAATTGGAAATTTTAAATTATTGTTTAAACACACACCTTTTCTGTTTGTTCAGATTGGTTTGATTTGCCTGACTCTTTTTGGATGGACCACTTTTCTCCGGTGGTGTTTGCCTGGAGACGGCGCTGAAGTAGCGCTCGAGCACAGCCAGCCGTTGCTGGAGTCTTGTGGTTGACAGGGAAGTGCACGCTGCCTCTGTACATAACTGCTGATTCTCGTGTAGCAATGACTTGAGACATGCTTCTAACTTTGCAATGTCTGAAAAGCAAATTTAGTTAGACATAAAACATATTTTAGAATAGTAAAGGTTTGCATCAGCAATGTTTGTTTCAATTGATTATCTACAGGACGCTTCTATATTAATCTGGATGCACACATACTAATAATACACTTACAATATGTATGCTTATAGCACCTCGCAAGCAAAATATGTTCAGGGACAATAACATTTTCTCCCAAAATTGGCGATTTCTAAACCAACTACTCACTAGTTTTTAAAGGGAACAACTCTAATTCAATTACATTTACTAACCAGTTTTCACACCACATACAAAGCAATGCCTTAGTTCTGTTTTAAAGCAAAACATAATTGCTACAAAAAATAAAGAATATTGTAATTGTTTTTTATTCCACAAATGGAATTTCTGTTATTAACTTGTCTTATTTGAAAACTGTCCATTACACTTTAAGGAACTTAGAATTACTTTATCTCAGCAGTCTACAGTCCAAGAGTATGGTCAGACAGCACAGATATAAAGGCTACCTTAGCTATATATAGGGGGCATAGGTCTATCATTATTCATTCTAGCATTCAAAAGGTTAAGAATAACTAGTTTTTATTTACTTTCCCAACAATTTTGCACAGTGATGAGATGCTACCCATAAAGTGAGAAAAGTAAAGCACAATTCTGATTCTAAACATGACTGTAAAAAGAGATGCTTATTCTGAATGCGCTCAAAAGTTGTAAATGTTTAACTTGAAGTTTATTACTTTATCATATAAAATCATAATCTGTATTTTCCCCCAATTTTACTCTAATTATTGTTGTCACTCAGCTAACCTGGTTCCTCTCCCCATGTCCAGCTGTCAATCATGGGACCAGCAGGTGGAGGTTTTCGAGCAAGCTCCGCCCCATTCTCTTCCTCCTCCTTGTCAAGGGCAGCACAAGCATCACAGTTACACCCATTTTCTGGTCCGCAATGTCCGTCACAGCATGTACATGTCAACAGTTTCATTCCACAGTAAAACTTCCCTGTCTCACCTAAAATAAGACAAATTCATTACAAATTTAATCTACTATAAAAAAATTTCAAGATGAAACACATAACTATCATTCAACACTGTGAATTAATGAGACCACTGTATCATTTATTGTGAGTCAAGTCATATTCAATGTGTATGTTTTATTGCTGAGCACAAGCACTTATTACAAGCACCAATCATTGTGCATGATTCTATGAAAGGTTATTAAAATCAATATGCCTCATTTATTAGGCACAGGAAGTAGATACTTTTCCTACTGTGTAATATCATTTTAGTATTTCAGAGGCCGAGTATAGGGTCACATTACAGGGAAGAAGTAAAAATCAACAATATTTAAATCATATACCTTAAGGCAGTCATTTAACTTGTTTTACTTGTTAATGTCTCTGTCATACAAATTTTAACAGACCAGATTATATATCTTTTTATGTTTTCATGGTTAAATTTGATGTTTTGTGAATGTATTAAGTTAGCTTGCTTAATTTGCTTTAATTTATATATATATATTGCTTGCTTTAATTTGTATATATTGTTTGCTTTAATTGCTTTAATTTGTATATATTTTATCAATATTTTATCAAGTTTTTAACTATTTTAAAAGTACTTTTTTTAAGTTACATAATTTCACATATATAAGCATTAATCTGGAGGAAATTTTGAAGCATTATTTAGATTTACTGATGTCAATATGTCACTTCTAAAATCAGCTCCATTTAAAGTAACCCTATTCTGACAGCGGGACTTTTAAATTCAACGGTGGGGGATGATCAAGGGCAAATCTATATCTTTCCCCACTAAACCCTCACACATCCACCTGTGTAGGGGCATAATAAATTCATGATTTCTGGTATAAAAATTCCATTTATTGGTAATACTACCTTGTAATTATCAGGCAATAGTTTACTATGAGACACCTAAGAATAAGCATTCATCTCCGATGATTATAAACTAAGAAGTAATTCTGCCAGATTTTACTTTGTATTTTGGCACAAATTGTTTTGTTTTTGCTTTATTGAAACAATTTTCTACTAGGCATGTTCTCTCAATTATAATTGGCCAACACTCCAAAATAGCAGATCTGCATGGCATTAAGAAATGCAATTTAGATGTTCTGGCATTAATTAATCTAAGATATGAAAATATATATATCAGTCAAAGAATATCCAAAAGCATACAAGTATAATTTTTATATGCAATAAAATTGGTAAAATTCAAGGTCTGTCAGTAATAATGAAGTTGTTGATATTTTTAAAAAAATTTATATTTCAATACACTGCCCCTAATTCTTCAAGAAAGGTTTTATGTGCAAGCTCTACAATTGCAGTATCCAATATAAAAGTACAATTTTATGTGAATACAGTGTCCTTCAACAGGTCAAGAATAATCAGTACATCTAGGTCATGAAGTATTCTGTTTTACCAACATCAAGCATTATTTGAGTTATCAATATATTATTAAGTCATTTTTCCACATATTGTACCTTAGTAATAGAATTAACTGTATGTTTAGATTTTATTACATTTGGTCAGAGAATAAAATGGCTCATAGCAAATATCACATAAGAAAGACTATTATAGTCAACCATATATTAAGCAGCATTTATGACATGAGGTTAGATAATTTTATACACATTATCTATTGATCTTTGTCACATTATTATTATCAAAGTCCTATGGAAACTTCTCTAGTCCACAGGTAGAAGAAAACCACAGGTGTCACTCAGTGCAAAATTATTTCAGGCAGGATCAAGCAAATTATTAGGAGTCCATCATCTCAACTACATATTTCGGAAAACTATCATAGGACCAACAAAGTCTCTTGAAGAATTCCAACACCAAAGTGGTGAAGAGCATTCAAAAACAGCTACCTTTACTTAAAGCAGCACGCCTCCAGATTCATGTAATTTTCAAGAAAATTTTGAAATCACAGTATTTGAAAGAAAAATATTGTGAGGTGAACAAATAAAGTTATTCACATATTTCACTTGGCGCTTACAATCCATGCAAATAACCAAAAAGAGGTCAAAATATGCAAAAACAGCCCTTACTGCATTAGTAAGGCTTTAGAAATATGGTGATAAAATACTGCATCGAAATAACATGTAAACTAAAACATGAATCTTGAAAGTTTTTATCTTTCTTAAAATATTAGTAAATTTTTCTCAATTTTCATTTCCTTGAAATATTTATGCCCGTCTGGAGGCGTGCAGCTTTAAGTTTCCATTCATGCGGTATGCCACTTATGATATATGCATGTCTATAATGGTTCCCTTTCATGACTGAAACCTGTACACATGATTTATCTTAGTTTAAGAAATTTGTAAATTCAATGCAAATCTGCAAAGTATCCGTTCAAATTCTTTTCCCCACTATCAAAAGTGATATGCTGTTAAAACAAGATATGTTTGTAAAACATGTATGCCCCCTATCTGCAGCCAATTAGTCATGTGATAAGGTTATTATGCATGACTTTTGACCCAGTGATCAAACAATTAATAAGGGTTATCAAGTATCTACTGGTCATGACCCTAACCTTTGACCCCTTGACCCAAAACTCAATAGGGGTCATCTGCTGGTCACGACCAATCATCATACAAAGTTTGAAGTTCCTAGGCCTAAGCGTTTTTAGTTAATTGATCGGAAACCGTTTTTACCTACAAGGTCAATGTGACCTTGACCTTTGACCCCTTGACCCAAAATCAATAGGTCATCTGCTGTCATGACCAATCACCATACCAAGTTTGAAGTTCCTAGGCCTAAGGGTTCTTTAGTTATTGATCGGAAACCGTTTTAACATACAAGGTCAATGTGACCTTGACCTTTGACCCCAAAATCAATAGGGGTCATCTGCTGGTCATGACCAATCACCATGCCAAGTTTGAAGTTCCTAGGCCGAAGCGTTCTTTAGTTATTGATCAGAAACCGTTTTAACATACAAGGTCAATGTTACCTTGACCTTTGACCCCAAAATCAATAGGGGTCATCTGCTGGTCATGACAAATCACCATACCAAGTTTGAAGTTCCTAGGCCTAAGCATTCTTAAGTTTTTGATCTGAAACCGTTTTTACTTACAAGGTCAATGTGACCTTGACCTTTGACCCCTTGACCCAAAACGCAATAGGGGTCATCTGCTGGTCATGACCAATCATCATACAAAGTTTGAAGTTCCTAGGCCTAAGCGTTTTTAGTTAATTGATCCGAAACCATTTTTACCTACAAGGTCAATGTGACCTTGACCTTTGACCCCTTGACCCCAAAATCAATAGGTCATCTGCTGGTCATGACCAATCACCATACCAAGTTTGAAGTTCCTAAGCCTAAGGGTTCTTAAGTTATTGATTGTAAAGCATTTTTACCTACAAGGTCAATGTGACCTTGCCCATTGACCCCTTAACCCCAATATCAATAGGGGTCATCTGCTGGTCATGACCAATCACCATACCAAGTTTGAAGTCCCTTGGCCTAAGGGTTCTTTAGTTATTGATCGGAAACCGTTTTAACCTAAGAGGTCAATGTGACCTTGACCTTTGACCCCTTGACCCCAAAATCAATAGGGGTCATCTACTGATCATGACCAATCACCATATCAAGTTTGAAGTTCCTAGGCCTAAGGGTTCTTTCGTTATTGATCGGAAACCGTTTTTACCTACAAGTTCAATGTGACCTTGACCTTTGACCACTTAACCCCAAAATCAATAGAGGTCATCTGCTGGTCATAACCAATCACCATACCAAGTTTGAAGTTCCTAGGCCTAAGGGTTCTTTTGTTATTGGTCAGAAACCGTTTTTACCCAAGAGGTCAATGTGACCTTGACCTTTGACCCCTTGACCCCAAAATCAATAGGGGTCATCTACTGATCATGACCAATCACCATACCAAGTTTGAAGTTCCTAGGCCTTAAAGTTCTTTAGTTATTGATCAGAAACCGTTTTTGCTTACAAGGTCAATGTGACCTTGACCTTTGACCCCTTGACCCCAAAATCAATAGGGGTCATCTACTGATCATGACCAATCACCATCCCAAGTTTGAAGTTCCTAGGCCTTCAGGTTCTTTAGTTATTGATCGGAAACCGTTTTTGCTTACAAGGTCAATGTGACCTTGACCTTTGACCCCTTGACCCCAAAATCAATAGGGGTCATCTACTGATCATGACCAATCACCATACCAAGTTTGAAGTTCCTAGGCCTTAAGGTTCTTTAGTTATTGATCAGAAACCGTTTTTGCTTACAAGGTCAATGTGACCTTGACCTTTGACCCCTTGACCCCAAAATCAATAGGGGTCATCTACTGGTCATGACCAATCACCATACCAAGTTTGAAGTTCCTAGGCCTAAGGGTTCTTTAGTTATCACTCGGAAACCATTTGGTCTACGGACCGACGGACCGACGGACCGACGGACCGACGGACCGACGGACCGACAAGTGCAAAGCAATATACCCCCTTTTCTTCGAAATGGGGGCATAATTAATGATATTGCTACAAAGATAGAATCACATCAGGAAAAAGCATATAATATTATTTTACATTAAAATTCTCGGATTTTTTGCTCAAAGAATATCAATACCCTGTATTGAGGAAGCAACTAAAGGTATAATCCAAATTATTGAAATAACTCTTGCTTTTTTGTTTAATAAAATCTTAATATTTCTCAATAAAAGGTACGCAATTATCAATTTTTAGAGAATAATGAAGAAATTCAACATAATCTTCTTCTTTCTTTTTTTCAACACCACATTTATTAAATTCACAGAACCATTATTCTACACAATGATGATGTTGCTACTTAATTAACCTGAAAAAGCCCAATATGCAGGTTAGCGAATTGAAGGTGGTACATCATGCCAAAAAAAATATTGCAGGAAACATCCTGGATTTTAGTTGTGCATATACAGTGAAACCTGTGAACAGAGGCCATATAAAGGAGAGACCAAACATGGTCTTTATTTGGAGGTTACTCTGTTATATATGATCAATGCACGGTTGTTGAAATGAGGCCTTTATTTACAGGGTGACCTCTTTTCATAGCTGGTCTTTAACACTGGTTTTACTGTAGAAAGAACCTTTTAGATTAGCATCATTTGAGAGATAAACAACAATATATTATAAGACAGGTTTTCTTTGTATTGTTTTGGTTGTTTCCATATTAAAAGATATATAATAAATAATAATGAAGTCAAATATATTTTGTTTGTTTTTACAAATCTACAACAAAACAAGAGGGCCATGATGGCCCTGAGGTCGCTCACCTGTATATAGGCCTCCCCCCCCCCCCCCCCCCCCCCCCCCCCTGGCAGGGCCAATTTTAGTTCAAGGGCTTTTATTTGAACAAACTTGGTAGACACCCATAAGAAGATGTTTCATGCTAAACATCTAAGCTCTGCGCTCATTGGGTTTTTCAAAGAAGACTTTTTAAGTTTTTACTATACACATATAGTTAAAACAATGACACCCCTGGGCCGGGCCAGTTTTGACCCCAGGGCTTTTATTTGAACAAACTTTGTAGACACTTACTAAAAAATGTTTCATGCTTAATATCTAAACTCTAGCTATTTGGGTTTTTTCACAGAAGAGTTTTATGTTTTTGCTATACACATATAAGGAAAATCAATGACCCCCGGGGCGGGGCCAATTTTGATCCCAGGGCTTTTATTTGAACAAACTTTGTACACACTCACTAGAAGATGTTTCATGCTTAATATCTAAACTCTAGCTATTTGGGTTTTTTCCAAGAAGATATTTCAAGTTCACATGCAGAGTTCTGCATGGAATTAAATTCTTTGAACAATTTTTAAAGGTGACCACCAAAGGATCATTTCTGTAAAGTTTGGTTGCAATTGGCCATGTGGTTTAGGAGGAGATGTTGTTTGAAAAGTTTGATGCCATTTTTCGAAGGAAGCACGCAGAGTGATGACAAAAGCTCACCCTTGAGCACTTTGTGCTCCGGAGAGCTTTAAACTTGAGGTTCAGTAAACTTTCTGCCAAGAAAAATCAAGAATATTTGCCAGGAAATACAAATATTTTGACAAGATGCATTCATCACTCTATTCATTACCTCTCATACATTTCTTTGTTCTAATAAATACATGGTGCTTTAAATCATCCTTCTAAACTGTTACCCAGTCCTTGCAAATTTTAATTCCTAATTTTTCAGAACCATTAAGTACTTATACAGACTTTATTATTTGTCAAGAATAAGAACAAGTAGATCTAAGTACTGGACTTTAATTACATAATATTTTGAAAAAGTAGCTTAAACGTGAAATAAAAGTGACACTCAGAGTTATCCCAACTTTGTCCTTGTAATACTTGCATAAGGGGCCACAACTCAATAAGCAATATGTCTCATTCCAAATATCTCTCCTCTATGCATGCCTTGGAAGTTTCTGTGAGGATATAATTGTCATAACACCAGTGTTTGACAAATACAATGATTAAAAACTTATGTTGTATAAGTCTTAATATCTAATTCATATCATAATGGCTCTACAAAAATGTGGCAGTCACATATATTCTAATCAACATTACACTATGAAGTTATTCAGAACACATCCTAATGGATTTTCCCCCTTTGCTAAATATAAAACTGTGCCTGATGTGGTGGTGTGCCCAAGTGGTTAACATGTCTGACTAAAGTAATTTTAAGATCAAAGAAAGTCAAAATATAATATTGAGCTGACCTGGTCTTTCTATCCTATATTGTAAGGATCCATATGCTCTTTATAAATGGACTGATCGAAATCATAAGTAAAAAGATGACTATTTCAACATTTATAAACTTCATTGTGTTCTGTTGTATTTAATTCAATAAAGTCATTCTTATTACAAACAAGCTCTTTATCTTACTATATTCACTATAAACTGATGAGATAATTTGTTGCTATAACATAAAAAGTTGCATAGTATTGCTAATAGGACAAACAAAGAATAGAAATTATAGCCTAGCTTCACAAATAAAAAAATTCAATTACCAAAGAAGTAAAAATACAGAAACAAACACAATTTTTGGTCTTTTACACTAATAAAAAAACAAGTGTTAGAAAACAACATCTTTATGACGTAGTCTGCCAGTATGAAAATAATATTGATATGATTTATTACCAACAAATAACGAAAGCAACAAAAATATCAACACAAAAAAACTAACGTAACTGGGTCTTTAAATACCTGTAATGATAACTACAGATATGTTATGTGAACTAGGTTATAATAGGTTCGTCAGTCATCATAACAAACCAGGTACAAATAAGTTTTTCTCTGTCTACAAAATGTGAAAAATGACAACAAAGCCCTGTAAAAAAATCTGCTTGTGTCATTTACTGAGGAAAGAACAGGATGTAATGACAGAAGAAAGAAAGAAAGACCATAAACTGCTATGAGAGTGACAAAGTTAAAAAATATTGGAGTAATTAATACAAAAAATTGTGATACATCCGGAATAAAAAATATTTTGGGTTTTCCAAGCTAATCTGGGATTTTGTACAAACAAACTTTAATAGTTGCAACTTTGGCAATAAGTGCAACAGGTTGACTTATCAATTGTGAACAGCAGTGCACTGTGAAAGTTTGTATGTACTGAGGGACAAGCTTAATTGGAAAATAACACTTTTGCCGAATTCCAGATAACTATTGAGCAACAATTAAGGCACTGCAAATTTTGTTAAAGATTAATTTATTAGTCAAATTATCATTCTGTTTCTTAATGTCACAGAGTTTTAAATACACCGAACAGGCATACTGTGTGGCGGCTGTCAAATCATGCTCAACCCTCTCAGTAATCTTAAATTTCCTTTATAATATTAAAGATCAGATATTTGAGCCTTTTGTTTGAAATTTCTGAGTACCAATAACTGCAGAAACAATTTTGGAAAATTATTTCATCTTTCAAAAAGTTTTTGATTTATTTGCCAAAATGTTTGGATGTTTTGTAGTGAAAATAAAAGCAGATAGCTCAAAGAAAAAGTACTAGAAACCCTGCAAGGACATGCATGTTAGCATAACAAAGTCAGAATTAATGAAGAATGCAAAAAAGGAAAAGAAAGTAATAAACCATCTGTGATGAAAGACAACATAACAGCAATGTAATCTTGTTTCTAGGTGATTAAATGCTAGGTAATAAATTCCACAAGGAAATAATTTCTTCTAAGACAATACATTTGATAATACATATAATAACAATAAATCTGGCAAAGAAAATACAGTTCATCTGACCTTTATGAACCTAAGTGCCTTATTTTATTTATATTATTCTATTGCTTGACACTTCATTTTGTGAACAAAAATAAATTATCCTTGGACAGTCTCTTAATAAATAAAAAATATCCAATTATCAAGCCAGATTATTTTGCTGGAGTTCATATTGACAACTTCTAAACATGTGTCTGACTACGATTAGCTGATTTTCTTGATGTGATCTGATGCCCTAGCTATCAGAGCAAAACGCTGGCCCTCGGGGATGGGACATATCAGAAAAGAATCTGGTCATATTTTGTTCTGAATTTAACCCCCTTAAAAGAAATTTAGTAAATTCAGTCAACTTGTGTACTCTCAGGCTGCTAACGGCAACAAATTCTAGTCATGTGACCAATACAGACAAAGATTACCTTGTACATCCGGAATCGAATGCTACAAATTCTAGTCATGTGACCAATACAGACAAGATAACCTTGTACATCCCGAATCGAATGCTACAAATTCTAGTCATGTGACCAATACAGACAAGATAACCTTGTACATCCCGAATCGAATGCTACAAATTCTAGTCATGTGACCAATACAGACAAAGATTACCTTGTACATCCGGAATCGAATGCTACAAATTCTAGTCATGTGACCAATACAGACAAGATTACCTTGTACATCCGGAATCGAATGCTACAAATTCTAGTCATGTGACCAATACAGACGGATATTAACAGGTACATCAGGCATTGCATGCTACTCAGTCATTTTTTTTTTTAATTTTCCCTAAAATTGATGAACTGTTTTGTCAATATTGAAAGAAGGACAAGTCAATTAATGATGGAAGAATTCACTATATGATGAAATAGCTCAAATATTTTGACCCTTTAACCCAAGCCACCAGTCTTGAACAAGTTAAACCAACAGGTCCATCACTGATCATGGTCTTATACTGTCTGCTATTTGGTCAAAATATTAATAGTTTGAAATTTTCCCTAAGAATGATGAATAGTAAATTCGTCCAGATTGAAAGATGGACAGGCCTATTTTACATGGTAAAGGTTTAATAATGTGAACATCTGCTGGCAAGTCATGTTATATTACAATGAAAAGCCTAATGCACTCAATTTCGTAAATATTATATACTTCCGTGTGTACAGAAGTAAAAATCACAAATCACTCAGGACTGCAACTGCAGCCTTCCAACACATGTTAGCAATTAAGACATTTGATTTATGAGGGGCTTTCTTTAACAGAGAAGAAAACAAAACACCAAAATACAAACAACCAGAGTTC